GCAAGTCACGGGGCCTCCTGGGTGGGCCTGTGTGAAGAGAGGGAGAGGATGATCCCCGAGGCGCCGTCTAACGCCGATATTCTAGGACTGTTCTTTTCTGAAGAAGCGTCCGAAATTGAGCTCCAGAGGTCTTAGGCAAGGAAATGAAGGTGACCCCTTCCTCCCCACCTCGCCATGCCCCGATGGGGCTGGGTGCATAGGCCCAAAGTCAGCTGGAAAAGAACTTTTGATACCAGTTTTATGTTAAAGTGGGGTAGAGGCCTCATTTACCTCTTCATTTAGGAAAATTCTAATGTAAGACCCCTCCTCGGAGGAAATAAAAATGAGATGGTTGTGCTTCTTTGAGACATCCTGGCTGTTTTTACATTTCTTTTCCAATTTTGTTCGGCGCACCCCAGGGAGCAAAGAATGGCTTGTACATTCCTAAGAGGGCGAGGGGAGTGGGAGTGGCGAAGAGAGAGTTGGCTCCGGGTGTAACTCTGCCAACTGTCGGAGGGCGGCGAAGGGAGGGTGGTCTTTTACGCGGGGTTGGAATCTGGTTACCTTTAATTTGCCTGCACGGCCGCTTCTTACCCTAATGGGCGTCTGTCAGCGGAGGGCTCGGGTTTCCCCACTTGCCTCAGACGGTGGAAGCATGGGGGCACACCGCAAAGCAGACAGCTCTGCCGGAAGGAAATATGCCTGGCCTCTGGGGCTGGGGGATGCGGGTAGAAGGGTAGGTGGACACCATGGGCTTTTCCTAAGGCGTGGTCGAAGAACTCAACTCCAGGAGGAGGCCCTACGTTTTAAAAGCCTCTTCTGACCAGCTTCTCATTTGCTCCATCTTTCCAGGCAGCCGGGGGCCAGGGCAGGTTCTATGACCCCTCTTAGAAAAACCCATTTTTTCACACCTAAAATCGAGTTGTTCAAAATCAAGCCAAACACTACTGGTGCTTGGAACAGAGTTGTTTCTGTGTCCAGAGGCTTTTTTTTTTTTTTAAACCAAACTCTACATGCCCTCAGCTCTTTATAGTTCATAAAATATTTTTCACTAACGCTCACCTAAAACTCTGCAAGCCCAAGCGTCAGGCAGACACATTGTCATTGTAGAGTCAAGGAAAGGGGGGGGTGATTCAAAAAGAAACTTAGCAGTTTGTACAAAGTCATAGTTAGGAAATGCTTAATCCCTGAATCCAGCACCTTCTGCAAGGCCTGTCTTCCCACCATCCCATTTCTTCCTGCCATCCCCTACAAGGAAATAGACACCCACCACCCCCACACACACCCAAACTGGGCCTGGCACTCTCAGCATGCCCTTCCAACCCCCCTCCCGTCACTACTTTATGTTGCAGTTTGCACCACCACGGACACAGGTGGGGGCAGTCGACACATGGCTCTGGAACCAGCTTTCTGTCAGCTCACACACTCTTCAGGACAGTGTCTCAACTGATGCACTTTAAAACACCCCCACCGCCCCCTCCCCACATAGCGTTTCATGTTCTCCTCACTGCCAAGACTCTTTCCATAAACCATGTAAAATAAATAACATCAAATATAATTCTTAATTGCTTCCAAGTCAATGTTTCCTCATCACTAAACTTTATTACTTCCCAATCTTTAGGGACACACTCCCCCTGGGGACTCTGTCCCCTCCAGTAGACAGGCTGAGGAAAGCAACTTCTCTGAAATTCGACCTGAGCGCCCCCGGCCCAGGGATGAGCAAGGGTGACGGGAGGCTCAGACCATGCGAGGGAAAGAGAGGCCTTTGAGGGCTGGAGGTGGACCCCCAGAGACAAATCGGGAAGTTTTCCGTCTGCTCGTCGCCCCCTAGAGGCCACGTCTGCTATCGCATCGAGAGCCCTGCACAGCCGGTACAAGTATTTCACGCTACTCTTCGCTCAAATTTCCCTGGATATCCAAATCTACTCTTCGGTCCCCGAGGGACTGGGTGCGGGGGCCCCACCTAGGAACTCCGTCCTGAGGATGCTTGAGAGGCCACAGGCCTCGAGACTGGATTGATTTCCTAGAAATGAGTGTCAGAGGAAATGGAAACGTGTCTAAATTTGTGTGTAGCCGAAAGCTAAAATCTTCCCTATAAAAATCAACCCGTTTCCTCCTTTCGTTGCAAATAAATCTGCCCCCTTTCCTATAGTTTTTTTTTTTCTTAAGTGGAATAAAAAGCAGATATCAATCGTGTTGCCTTTAAATCTCAATGCGAGAGCTGTTTCCAGTGCCTTTCGTCGCAGGTGCCTGGGTTCCATACCATCAAACGTGGGCTTCAAGCTTCCCCCACCCGCACCCCGCCCCACCACTAAGTGCTTGTGATCATTATCTACGATATCTGCATTTCCCTTTCTGCTCGAAACCTCCGTAGTTTATAAAAAGCTTAAGTCAAAAAGAGCTTTTGAGGACGTTACGGACAGGCCTATCTTCCTGACATCTACCAGGACTTTAAACAGCAGCTGGCCGGCTGGGGTTCTGGGTCTGAGAGTCCCCTACTGTCCTAGACATAAAGAACGGGGGCCATTTCCAGGCTGTGGCTCAAGGGTAAGAAGTGGCTGGAAGGAAAGTTGCCGGCGGCTCTCCTCGACGCTCCGCCGGCTAATGAATGCGTCGCTGGAAAAAGCCCTGCGAACCGAGTGGCTGAGTGTCACGCCGCGGGCGCAGGCTCGGCCGGCATCGCTGCTATGCGCGGAAATATGAGCGAGTAATTTTATAAGTAACAAAGGATCAGAGATGGAATGAGGCCCCTGTTATCCAATGTCATTTAGAAGCCTTGGATCAGCAGCTTCTTGAAGCTAAAAGTGAATTCAAGAAGCCCTGCCTTTCCCTTTTCCCAGGGGGTGTCAGCTAAATTTAGAAATAACCTCTACGTGTTTGCACAAATCATGTACCATTTGCTGTTTGTGTAAAAACCGATTAGCCAGACACAACTGTGAAACAACTTGTTACTTTTATAGCTGCAACACACAAACAAATTTAGATCCGTTTCGTTTTCCTTGTAAAAGGAGATTAGAAGGGACCCGCCCGGAGGCCGTGTGGTCCACAGTCTCTTCTTGGTGACGGTTGCCGTCGCTCCGCACTCCCGATCTCGAAGGAATGTTTACTCAGGACACAATAATGTTTACTGTTTACCAGGAAATCTGATTCGGTGTTTGCAAGGAAGTGTCTTTCAAAGAGAGCCCCTAGCCCACGGCGGCAGCGGAGAGACAGGGCTCGGATCCGCGGTGGGGAGGCCACGCCACGACCGGGGAGCCCAGGTGGGCCACAACGCCGGGGACGGGCCGTTCCACAAACAGGACGCGCACAGGGCCGAGCTGACAGTGCTGCTGCCCGCTCCAGCTTTAAAAAGCGATTTCACACAAGTAATTGTAACAGCTAAATTAATTACAAAATAATTAGAATTGATGCCGTTTGAGGATACGCTGATGGCGGGGAGAACGGGCCTCCTGCATCAAGACGTTTCATTTCTACTTTAATATTTTTTTAAGAGAAAGGTTTAAAGGGCCGAAATGCATATTAGAAATAATCTACGAGGACCTTCCCCGTTCCTGCCCCACAATCTCGCATTTCACACTAACCTAGCCTAAGGTAAAGAAAAAAACAGGGAAGAGGTGGTGGTGTGCAGCTGTTTTTAAAAGGGTATTAAGGCCACCATTTCTTGGGCCTCAAAAAGGTTTGGGGTTGGAGGGAGGGGAAGCATCTATATAAATCCTTTAGAAATCCAATTACGTTATGGATTGATTATTGCCATAGAAAAGAGGTATCTTATTTGAAAATATTATGAAAATAAAACTATGCTATTATCTATCAGGTTAATATAGATAATACAATCCCACTGCAAAATTTAAAATGTCATAACATAAAATTTTAAAAATCAACTGGATTTATTTACCACTTTTACTTAAGGAATGAAAAGAAATAATTTCTAAAATCTAAGATTTAAATAATGAAAACAGAGATGTTTGGAATTCACTTACTTTTGAAAGGATAATTGAAATGACCAAGAACTCTCTCATTTGGGAAGCTTTCTTTGTGGAAGATACTAGTCTGGTCTTTTAAAAAATTTTTTTAAAGACTATGCTCTTGTTTAGGTGTTTTTTTAAAAAATGATAGTTTTATCTACAGAACTGTCTGATCAATTAGATTTAATGGGTTGATATGAATGAGATTATCGCTCACATCCGCATTTTATGTGAAAACTAAAAGAAAAATATTAATATCATTTAAATTAGACATTCTTTTTTCAATTAAAAAATCTTTTTACATTCAAATTATAAATTAGCATAAGTTTAAAAAGATCCTCACTTCAAATTCCTCGATTTTCTGGGGAAAATAAAAAGCAAATACCATTTAAAAATCTTGCCATTTACTTCAGACACCTAAATAAACACTAGGCTGAGCATTTTAAAAATTTATTTACAAAGTTGTGTACAACACGATGGAATAACATTTAGAATACCATATATATTCATTCATATATAAACAGACTTTTATAATAGAATGACACTTTTCGCCTTTTTGAAAATTTTTTATATTTAAAATCTGTCAACGTCTCTATACATTCTTTTTCTCAGATAAAACTGCGGAGAGTGAACCTTCAAAAAAATGAAAGTTCAGAGCTCTAAATCTACTGAATTTGTTTTTTCTTAAAAAAATAAAAACCCCAAAAGGAAAGGCAATAATTTTTATACAAATATGTACAAAGAATTTCCCTCCCATCCCCACGGTACTGAGAGCAGGCGCCGTCGGGGTGCATTTTTGGAATATTCGGTTTTCGGTTTTACCTGTACGAAAAGCTATTCCCGGCGGGCGCGCGGTGAGTTTGCTCGGCCAGCTTAGGTGTGCGCGAGGGGGTGGAGGCCGTGGAAGGTGTTGGGGGGTCAGGGGAGAGGAAATGGGGGAGAGGCAGAGTCCGGATTGGGCAGGGGGACCGGGACCGGGGCGGGGCGCGCAGCCTGGAAGTGCCGCCGCCGCTTAAGGCCGCCGCTGGGCCCTGGGTCCCGGCCACCGGCGCGTCCCTATTGCGCGGGCCATTTGGCTTGAGCGGCGGCGGCAGCGGCGGCGGCGGCCGAGGCTGCGGGCTGCAGAAACTGTCCGGAGAGCGGCACGCTCAGGATGGGCGCAATGGTAGCGGTCGTCCGGCTCAGCGACAGCGGCTGGTGCGTGGCCATGAGCGCTGCCGACTGCACGGTCCCGGGCGGCCGCAGGAAGGACTGCGTCGTGCTGCCGCCCCCGCTGCCTCCCCGTTGCCGCTGTCTGTCTCTCTTATCTGCCAGCAGCCGATCCCCTCTGGAGTCTGTCTGGCCTTCCTTTGCCGATGAATGTTTCTATGCTGTAACTGTACGGCCGCATGCGCTCTGGCTCAACTTGATGATCTCTCTTGTATCTCTTGTTGGTGTTCTTTCTCTGTTTGCGTCTTTTGCTCTTCTCTTCGGTCTTTTTTCTGTGGTTCAGGGCTGTGAGCTGCAGCTGCAGGCCCGGGCCGAGCTGCGAGCCGAAGGCGGCCGCCTTGCGGCCCAGCTCGCCCGAGGGCAGCAGCGGCACGGCGGGCGGCAGCACTGGCGCCACCGGCGGCAGCGCGTACGGGTACTGGAGTGCCGCGGCCGCCGCGCCGCCGCGGCCGCCGGGTGCGAGTAGGCGCGCGGCAGCCGCCGGGTGCAGGCCGTAGGGGCGGCCGTAGGGTCCCGCTCTCTGTTCTTCTCTCTTTCTTTTTTTTATCTCTTCTCTTCTTCTTTCTTATTATTTTTCTCTTGGCGTTCTGCTTTGTTTATATTATGTCGTTCTGTCGGTCTGCTGGTACTGTTCGTGTGTCTTATTACTTATGTTCCTCTATTTGTTGGTGTGTTCTTTATTTTTTCTTGATATTTTTGTCTCTGTCTTTTTCTTCTGTGTGTGTGGTGTTTTTTTTTTTTGTTTTGATCTTTATTGTTATGTTTTTCTTTTTTGACTGATATGTGTTTTTTTTTTTTGTTATTCTCTGCAGGGGGGATTCTCCCGGTAGTAGGGGAAGCGGTTGCTGATGAACTCGCAGATGCCGCTCAGGGTCAGCTTCTTCTGGGGGCTCTGCAGGATGGCCATGGTGATGAGCGCGATGTACGAGTAGGGCGGCTTCACCAGGCTGTTCTTGGGCTTGCTCGGGGCCAGGCCGCCCGCGGAAGCACCGCCCGCGCCGGGTCCGCCGCCGCTCGCGCCGCCCTCCTCGCCGCCAACGCCGCCCTTGCAGCCGTCCGCCTCGGGAGCGCCCGCGTCGCCCCCTGGCCCGGCGCCGGCTGCCTCCTTGGGCAATGCCAGGGGCTGCTGATGGGGCGGCTGAGGTTGCCCGTGATGGGGCGCAGCCGGCGGCACCTCGTCCGCCTCGTCCAGGCGCAGCTCGGGCGGCCCCGCTGGGCTATCGCAACCGGCATCGCTGTCCTTCTCCTCCAGCCCGTCGTCGCCCTCGCCCACCACATCGATGTCCACGTCCTCGGCCGTCAGCACCGTCTGGCCGGACATGTCGCTGGCGCTGCCGCTGCCGGAGAGGGTCATCCCTCCTCGGGGTTGGTAGCGGCGGCGGGGAGGGGGCAGCCGGCGATGGCGGTGGTCAGGGGCTGCCGCGGAGCTCAGGGGAAGAGGATTTGGGCGCCCCCGAAGGACTGGGGGCAGAGAGAGGGGAGGGGGCCGCAGGTGGCTCGGGGCCCGCCCAGCGCGGCTCACACTCGGCGGCCCCGCATCGTGCGGCGCGGGCGCTGCCGTCTGCCCCCCACGGCCGCGCTCCGCGAACTCCTGCCGTCCCTGGCGCTCGGGTACTAGGCACTCGTTACCGCTCCTGGCCCCGGCGGCTTCTCCACGCCGCGCCCCCTCACTTAGCCCGCCTTCCTCGGCCTCTAGCCCGGGCGTGGGGCGCAGGAGCGGTCCTGGAGGGCGCGGGACGCCGGGCGCCGAGCAGCTCGGGAGGGCGCGGGCAGGGGCAACCGCAAGGGGGGGGGTGTCAGGGACGCCGAAGCCCCCGTAGTCGAAAGTCCCGTTTTAAGGACTGGCCTGATAGATTACTTTCTACTTAAAGATCCAGCGGGAGGCGGGGCCACGTGACCGCGCATGACGTCAGGGCCGCCGCGGAGCCGGCCAAACTCAAGTTGGTTCAGGGAATTGTCAACAAAGGGACGGGAGAAGCGCAACTCTGCACCGCACCGTGCGCCAGCATCCCGCAGGCCCCGAGGGCGCTCCGGCCCGCCCGGAGCCCCCGGCCCACGCTGGAGCCTGGCTCAGGGGCCCAGAGAGCGTGTGGGTGTGAGTGTGGGTGGGCGGGTGGGTGCGGTGGGTGTGAGCGACTAAGGGCAGGGGCCTGGGAGCGTCCGCGGGACCGTGCCCTGCCTTCCCCGCCCCCTCCCTTCCCCCTCTCCTTCCCACTTTGCCTACACTCCTCAGATAGACAGGGACCGGGCAACATAGAACGAGATTCCCATCCCATTTTTTAAAAAGAAAAACTTAGTAATCTCTGTTCCTTTTTGTTTGATTGCTTTTACCTCTAAAGAGAAGAACGGCGCATCGAGCCCACTCTTGCTAATTAGACCTCAGACCCTTCTCCATTCTCACTGCTCATTCCAGAGAAGACACCTGCTGAGGTGTCTCCCGCCTCCCCCCGACCCAGACCTCTCAGATCCAGCCTTCGCTTTACCGGCTCGTTGCGGGCGTGTTTTTCTGTATATATTTTTTTCGCGCGGCCGCAACAGCATCAGCTGGGGTTCCCGAAGGTCTGAAAATGGCTATTGATTAATCTATTAGAATAGTTGCCGAGAGAAATAAAAACGACGTAAAATAACAGGGAACCTATAAATAAAGAAGCCATAACTGGCTGCTTGGAGTTGTTAAACGACTTAGCATATGAAAAAGTCGGAAATGAGGCGCTGAGGAAGGAGCCGGGATTGGCGGCGGCCCGGGTAAGTCTAGTGGAGCCGGGAGGAGGCCTCGGGCCTGCAGGTTAGACGCCGCGCCCCTCCCGGGGCGGCTGAAGTGCCTACAGTGCGGGGCGCGGACGCTGGCTGCCCAGGCGGCGGGTACGGCCTCGGGAGAATCTGGGCGACCTCGGGCATGCTGGCGGGCTGGGCTCTGGGCTGCTGGGAGCTAACGTGGATTCTCTCCTGTTAAGACGTAGACAGACCCTCCAAGACTTGACTTCCGCGGAAACCAGCGGCAGAGCGAGTGCAGGACGAGGCGAGGATGTGTGGCCGATACACAAGGAGTTTCCTTGACAAGGAAAGTCACCGATGGTAGGAAAAACTGTGGGCATTTCACTGGGACAGGCGGACGGCGGGGGTTAGGGGAACACGGCAGACCGACCCTGGGTGCGTGGCTGGGGCACGTGGACCTCACGCCTTCACGGGTAATCAGTGTCCCTGTCCAGGCGAGCCCCCGACGCGCCAACTCTTTCCTCCCGCATTTAGGCCATCTAGTTTCAAGCCGCAAGCGCCGGCCGGGTGTCTGTACACTGAGGCCTGGGAGGGGAGCGCCGGCCTCGCCAGAGGAAGGAGCACCGGGGAAGAAGGTCCGAGAGGAAATAATCAGTGAAATATTTACAGAAGACGATGGGAAACTGATTTAATTCCTGGTGGACACAGGTGCTTCTGATTTCCTCAGTCTGTGTCTCCCCACCCACGACCCTTCTTTTCCCTGGCTTAGATACACCAAAAAAATTAACTCAATAAAATTAAAAAAATCTGTAAACTTACTTCATTACAGGCATTGCGACACAGATTGACTTTCATCCCCATTAGACAATTCCCTCAGGTATGACACTAGCCCATTGGCTCCTGATTTCACAGGATCTTCCAGGTTGGGGGTGGGGGCAGTGACTCCATCCCGAGATGCCAGAGAATCTTCACGGTTTTTCTGTATCTAAATGATCCCGGGGTTGCACCTGGCCCTAAAACGTATCTGAGAGTTGATTTCTGCAGCTGCACAGCTTTGTGTCTCCCAGGCCCCGAACCGTTTACAAATGCTGTCTAGACAGCCTCCCAAGAAACCGATCCGAGCTGCAAACCCACCGCCCTAGGCTGCAGAGGTCGCGGCTACAACTGCCTGAGCAACCCAAAGGAAGGTCAGAAGGACAAAAAGAAAAGAAAAAAGGCCGAAATTTACACATTCAGAAACTCCTTTTGCTCTGCTTGGGTTGCCCAGCCCGAGAGGCAGGCGCGGGGCACATTGCGGGCCCTACCGCGGCCTTGGTGGCTGGGCCTGCGTGGACACGTGCGTGTGTATGAGCGCGGGAAGGTGGTGGCTCCAGGGCTGCCCTCGCCAGTCTTCTTAAAGTAGCCTCCAAATGAGCCTAATTTCGATTCCGCCGCCCACCGGGTCTGGCTCTCGGGACTCCCTCCACATCGCTGGTCGCTGCCTCTCACCCTCCCTCCGCCACGGCCCGGCCTGATCCGTCCATCCCCACTGTCTCCTTGGAACCTCCCTGGGGAGGGGGGTGGGGGATGAACAACTCCCAGCTGCCGGTTCCATTTGTTGCACTTTTTTCCTTCGACACAATAAAAGTCAAATTAATTGATTCATACCATTAATTACGGCGCGTAGCGTGAAAAGCAACGCTTCCCCTCGGTTAGAGATCTATTGTGCTAATCTCTTGTTCAATCAGTGTTACCATCTGATGCCGGGTCCGACCCTTACAGAAACTTTTCGACTCGATTAGCTAAATGATGAGACGTGCAGGACCTACTGGCTGCGGCCCCGACGTACCGCGCCCGCGCTGGCCTAACGGCTTAATATCGATTTCCAGCGAGGCGGCGGATTTTTCCGCGGCCACACTAGGCTCGGGAACCGGCGGCCGGTTCCCTCCTTCCCTGCGGACAGCAGAAGCTGCACAACCTCCCGGGGCGGGAAGGAGGTGAAGGGCAGCCCAGGTGGGAGACTGGAAGGTTCCTGCTGTCCTGGACGCGGGAGGCGGCCGCAGCGGAAGAGTTCGAGCCCGACGCACTGTAGGGTCCTGCCCAAAGCCGGCTAGATTCGGGCTAAGTAAATTCTGTTAGCCACATAATTGCAGTTTGCAGCTAAAAGCCCACAGGTCGTCAGTTACCGCCAAACTTTAAAACAGGGATGGAAGAAGTGAGACAAACAAAGTGAGACACGGTGGGGGCAAGAAAAATGTGACAGAGGGAACAGAAATGGCGTGAGGGGAGACGTGGGTAAACAGTTTCTTTGTCTCAAAGGGTTATTGGTGGAGCTAGAAGGAGAACGAGTACACACAAACACACACAATTATGAGTGTCTACTTGAGTCTCAACAAGCAAACTTCCTAGCAGAGATTTAAAGAGGAAGATGGCAGCCAGCTGCCTCGCCTGCTCAAGTGTTTGAAACATTTCAACCGAAGGAGAGTAGAATGAAACTCCGTCGGTCCTTCCTGGGGCGGGCAGAGGACGTCGTACCCAAAAGGGAAAGCCACCCGGACGTGGTCTGGGTTGGGGGCGGGATCTAGGTTCTAGCAACAGGAGGCAAGAAGAGTGGAGTCCGAATCGATAGGAAGGAAATTGAGACGTCTCCAGGGGAGGGGAGAGATTTAGTGTGTGCTTTCGGGTGGGGGGAGATGGGGGAGGAAGTGGATGGAAAAATTTATGATGGAGAAGAGGAAATTAATTACAGCTCAATTTGAGTTCTTAAGTGGTCAACACGGGAGGAGGGGCACGGTGAGAGAGCAGAAGACGGAAATGGCCCACCTACCCCTCGCCGGGCCCAAGCGAACCCAGATGCCCTCTTTCTCCTCCTTTAATTCAGAGACCATGCCAATGGCTTGAATAAATCGTTGGCGCGATGTGAAATAGAATCATCATGCCCGAGCGCGGGTGCAATTTTCTTACGATCCGGGGAGTTGGGACCAGGTTCTTTAGGGTGAAAGGAGCGCCCCCCACAGAGAGCAGCTACTGTCTCTCTAAGACAGGAAACAAAACCTGGATGCAGCCACTTGGAAAATACCTCTATGTCTTCTACCCCCTCCCCAAACAAAGTCGGCTTCTTCTAGACGATCCTCACAGATTACTTAAACTATCATCGGCCTCTTTGGACGACCGCCACCGAGGAAGGTGGGGAGGGCAGAGTTGATACGTTGAGGCCCCAACCAACCCAGATTATTTCCATTTCCCACGGGGTGAGATTTTCAACTCCCTTCCCACCACCATCACCCTTGTATACCCCTCCAGATCTCTTTGGCGTTAAAAAAAAGAGAGACTAATTTAATGTTCTTGTTTGGATTTGCATCTCAAAACTTCATTTATTTTCAAGGTGTCTGCCACTCAGGGTCCACGCCAAGGCGCCTATAAATGGCGAGAGACCAAAAGCAAAGGAGAGACAGAGGAAGAGAGAGAGGATGGTTTCGAATTTATTTATATTGGAAATGTATAAACATCCATTCTGTAAAAGGCAACACGTTTAATTAACGATGAGAGAGCAGTTAGGGGCAGAAAGCTAGTAAAATTGTGTGATAAATTTATGGCATTGTTAGCGTGCTTTTAATTATGGCTATTATGTTAATTATTTCACATTAGCATGGAGTTATCAGCAGCATGTCAGATTTAATCAAAACGAGCCTTTCTCTCGAAAATTGTTCTTTTCATCCGCGAGGAGAAAGGTCCTGGACAGAATCGGGGCTTAAAAATGACTTGGCATTGAGAGCCGGAGTCTTTCCGACAGTTTGGAGCGACGCGGCCCGGCCCGGCTGTCCGCTGGGTCCCTCCAGGCTATCTGCAGCGCGGAGGAGCTGAGGACGGGGTTTTTAGGAATTCACCATTTTCACCCCCTTCGGAGCCGACACTTCATCATGCGAGATCATTCTGTCAAACAATATGATGCTGCTCATTTTTATCTGTCCCGCTTTACAAAATCCCCATTCAGCCGGCCGAGGAGCAACAAAAGCCTGAGAGCAGCTCGGCGGCCGCTGGCGGCCACAGCCTCCCCGGCGCGCGAGAAAGAAAGGCGAAAGGGGCCAGGGAAAGCAGGCGGCGGGCGCGCGCCCCTCGCCGCCCGAGGGAACGCGGCCTGCCGGGCCCGCGCGCCCAGGTGGCGGGTCCTCGGGTGTGGCCCGGGCGGGGCACGCCTCTCTCCGGCCGGCGCCCGCCCAGGGTCTCCCCGCGGGCGGAGGGCGAAAGCACCTTTTCCTCCCCGCGAGCGACTCGCCCACCCAGGCCACATCGATTTCTTAATCACCGCCGATCGATTTATTGGGAGCAAATAAATAGCCCGTTTTGGCAACGTTTCAATTGTTGGCTTGATGGTCGGGGCGCTGACGCAGGAGGGCGGGCAGGGCCGCGGGGCGCGCGCGGGAAGGGGCTTGTGGGAAGGCGGGGAGCGTAGAGGCCGAGCGCGACCCGCCCTGGGAGCCTCCGGTGGGGCGCGCGGGCCGCCCGCCGCCAGTCCCCGCGCACTGCGTGCTCCCGCGACGGCCCGGCCTCCTCGAAGGCGCCGCGTCTCCTCCTCTGGGGCCCAGCTCCCTCTGGCGGCGGGGCGCGCAAGACCTCGGCGCCCAGCCCCTCCACCTAGTCACGTCCAGGCAAGTTCGCCCGGCTTTCTGATTCCTTTGGAAAGTCCCTCGTTAAGCCACCAACCGACCTTGAGTCCAGGCCCCGGGACCCTCGCAGGGACGGGCCTCCCAGGCCTTGGGCAGTCGGGCCCACCTCGCTGGCCTTCGGGTCCACGCCGCGCGGACGCCAGCGGCTCCTAGCCCCGGGTCCGGGAGCGGCCTTCCTGCACAAGACCACTCAGGCCCCCGCCTTTCCCGGGACGGGGCTGTGGACAGGCCAGCTGCTGCCTTATTTTTAGTGCCATTCCATTCGCGCGGTTATATTTAACTCGATCCACTCCTCCGAGGAGGTCGCTCGGACATCGAATTCTCCACATCGCAGCTTGGGCCCGCCCGCTTTGCCTCACGGGCAGTTCCTCTTGGGGCAGATTGGAAAACCCCAGCTTAAGAATCTTTGACATCTCCGGAGCTTGGCGAGGACAGGAGAGAAAGGGAGGTCTGGTCTAGGAGTAGTCGCTACCACGCCTGCCGACGCGCTGCGAGGGGAGTCTGCCCCGAGTGGGGGAAGGGGGGAGGAAGCGGGGCTCAGTCCTATGGGAAGGAGTCTCTGCGGGGCGTACTGGGTCCATTTCCTACTTATGCAAGACCCAGAGCATCTAGGAGACCTGGAAGACCTCCTACAAAAAGTTTTTGGTTTTGTATTCATGCAGGAATCCCTCTCTCCCCTACTGTCCAACACAACCAACAGGATACTTAATTTCAAATACTATGTTGGCTCCACGATTCCAGCAAAATCTCAAAAAGACCATGCCACTGGCTCACTCACATCTTGGGGAAAGGACCCACTTGGATAACTCACAGAAACACCCTTGTGTTACACACTTGATTGACAAAGAAGGTCAAACTGAATTTGCAAACAGTGCAAACGCCATGTATTAAAGGTACACATACAGATGTGAAATGATCAGGGATACTGAAAAGACACTTTTAAACTTTAAATTCTTCTAACATTTTTAAAGAAACAATTTTCTTTTCCTTGCGTCAAAAGTGGGTATTTCTGGATGCCTCTTTTTGGTAGATGTCCCTTCAATGTAGAAATTTCTTGGATTGAAGTCATACTGACAGCTGAATTTAGGGGAAGAGGATAATATATGAGAGAGAGAATATGTACGTATA